ACGGCTTATAGCTATTAAAATGATTTCTAGATTTGAGTTGGAAGTTATTAATAACATTTATTCTACCGACCGAACGCAACGAACTTTTTTCTCTGAATAACTTCATCGTATTCATGAAAATAATATTACTCTCATTTCCAATAATTTCATCCAAAAAAGTCAATACTTCAGTCTTTTTCAAATTTCTCTCAGATTTAATAGCTTCTCCAACGATTTTTTTGTAAAATTCATCAAATTTTTCATTTCTACGGATTGAAATGAAGGAATGAATAATCCTTTCGCCAATATGATTCAGCCTATTTTCGAAAAGCTGCAAGATATCTAGTATCACCTCATTGGTTGGATTAAACCCTAAATTGAGTAGTTCTTGAAGCCTATCGATTATTTCTTTAACAGTTGGCATCACATAGTCTTTAGCTGGAACTGGTGGAAATAATAATAATAATGCACCTTGGATTACAAGATCATTAACGTCGTTAACGACGTCGTAGTAACCAATTTCTTTCCACAAATTAACTAAATCCTTATGAATCAAAATTGCCCGAGCTATAATGTTCAGTTGTCTGCAATTCTCATAACCATCCTTTGCGGGATATTCTTCAATACTCTTTCCCTCATGCAGTTTATTTTTAGGCCTTGGTGGAAATGGTATGAATTTCCATTTTAAGATCAACTCTTTAATAAGTTCTAAGTTTTCCTCAAGCTTTTTTTTAGCTTGGTTGATTACAAATGGACCACCACTTTGAAAATGAAAATATTCCATATCATTTCCCTTAACTGCTAAATCAGAGTAAGGTTCAAAGTTATTAGAAGGATTTAATAATTTTGAAGCCTCTAGTAAAATGTGCGTAAACACATCAAGGGGAGTATCACTGCCCCAAGGCATAGCATGTTTTTGTTGTACTTTGCGGATTTGCTCAATATCGATATTTCCCACATTATGTTCAATTTTTTTCTGGATTAATTTTGGATCATACGCACCAAACGAAAGCAAAAACCTTTGAACAAAGTACCTAGATAATATCCCACCAAATTCGATGATTTTTTGAACTACAGGAACATTAATGAAATTTGGTCCGAGACGAACTGCGTAGAATAATGCATGCGCTTTACCAAAATGAAAAATTAACCATTTAACTCTGATCTCACTTTGTTGAGAAAGTTGATACCAAAATTTGCATGTTAATAATAAATTCATTGGGGAACGAACAAATTTAAAAATATTAATCTTGATTTTATCAGGGAGCTTAGAAAGAGTAAGAGTTTCATGATTCAAATCATTAAACTCGGCTTTATTGGCGATTTCCAAAAGAGAAGCTTTGCCAGAGAAGGCAGGTTTTTGTATTTCAG